GATAGAGATAAGTGCTTTAAAGACAATAAAAAGTATGAAAAGTAACAAAAGAAATATGAAAACAAAGAATAAAAAGAAATAAAAGTAATTTGAAAGTAACTGATGGGCAGAAAGCTACTTAACATTGTTTGGGCAGGAAAGAGAAATTTGAGGGATTATTTGGGTTATCTGGAAAGTCAAGAAGGATCAGCAATGGAAAATGTAGGGGAAGAGCGTTCCATGAAGTTGCAACAGTAGTACAAAGACACAGAGGTAACCAGGTAGTGATGTTAAACAAGAAAAAGAAGGACCATGTGGTTAGAAGAGGGTGATCATGAAGTTGGGCAGATAGGCAAGGGGCAGATTATCTAAAACCTTGAAGACCACACAAGTAGTTTTATTCTAAGTAACCGAATGAGAAGCCATTGGATCGTTTCAAACAGTGGAATGACATAACCCTACTTAGGTATATCAATCAGTGGATTTGTTCTGATCGTGTTCATTCTCCTCAAAACCCTTAAATTTATAACTGCTATCACATTATAGAGTTTGTTGTTGTTAGAAATAGTTGACCTAAAAATGAGATAATTCATAGGAAACCCCAAATTCAAAAGGCTGTCTTGAAGAAGAAAGAGTATACTTTTCTGGTTGGCACAGGAGTAGTAGCATTAGTATAAACTTCTGCAAGAAATGTTTTGTTTTATCATATGTAGAAGGTCTTCTAATAGTCAGAGATGTTCAGAGATGGAAGAGGTTACTCATCATAGGAATAGGCTGGAATACTGGTTGGTGGATTGTTGTAGACAGGATTTAAGTATTGATGGATGGTTGTAGAAGGTGAGCGTTTTCAAGTTTCTCTTAACCAAGAGAGTCAATCATTTTATACATATTTATAGTATTTTGATATAAATCCATAATGCTGAAAATATTAACAATCTTTCTTCAGGCAAAGATGCAGTGAAAAATGAGAATTTAAAAGATTCTGAGCACCCCAATATCTGATAGTCCTCTGAGTCTGTTTTTGTTTGTTTTTAAATTTCAACATCCCTGTGTGTTGTGACCTAGCAGGACTCACGTATTGTAGCAGTTATTTCTAATTGGGAAAAGACAGCTTGGCCCTCAGAAATGTGTGCATATCAGATCTTGGGACTGGGGAAATGTGTGTGTTAGCTGGAGAAAGTCTTAGAGGTAGTTCTGATCTACCCTCATGTGGAGGCAGACCTCATCCCTTCCAGCTGAGAAGCATTTCACTAGGCTCGAAGCCCTATGAAGGCATGTATCCCCAAGTTTTAATGCAGTGCCTGGTATGTAGGAGACATGTCATAAGTATTTCTTAAATAAAATAATTAAATCATTGTAATCTCAAATTTCAGTGGTCTTCAAGGAGAAATTGACATGAAACAATGCTAAATGAGCACTACTAATTCCTCTGAACAATGCTACTCACTTTATATGCAAGAGCATTAAAAATTATCACCCAAAAACCTCTTTCTACTCCAAAGCTTACCTGTCTCATTGCAAATGGGCACATTACCTGCGTACATGTATTCTCTGCACCTAGTTGGAATCCTATTAAGTATTCCAACAAGAATCTCCATACTACCAGACTGTTGTCTTTATCCAGAGTTTTTCAACCTGTATCTGAAATCCTGTTCTATAGTTAGAAGAAAAATATATTTACTATTTGCTTGTAATGGCATAGTATCTTTAAGTGGTAGTCTCTTTTGTTAGTAGCTAAGATTAATTCAATTTATTCCTCCCAAGCAATATTTCATTTTTTATTTTTCCCATGGAAACAAAATTTACAATCATAGAGTAGAATGCACAATTACTTGTATCCTTGATCAACGAACTCAATATGCAAACAAAAACCAACTTAAAATATATGTATATGGGAACACTGCATCATACATATATATAATACATGATGATACATAATATATGTGTATGATGATACATAATATATGATGCAGTTTCCATTTCTATTTTTAGCTTTCTTTCGTGCTTTTTAAAAAAAATAAGAAATCTCAGCAAGTCCGATTTCAGACTTATTTTGGGTTTGAATATTACGTAATCTGTAATTTTTAATTAAACATTTTTTCTTACCAAAGTAAGATATAAATAGCTCTCACTTTTTATTTATCCCCATGTTGTTGCCTATATAACGAATTTATCTAATCTGAAGTAAAATTTTCTAGGTTATAACTAAATGTTTGCTAAATGTGAAATTTTATTTTTATCCAAATAATGTAGATAATATAGCTTATATGTATTAAGTTAGCATTTAAAAATTAAACTAGGTATTTCACTGTGAGGAAGCGGTACGCATAGAGTGGGAAAAGTGCCAGGTTGAGAGTCAGGGTTTGAGGCTTGAATTCTGGTTTTTCTCTTTAGTGGTAAAATGACTTCAAATGAATCATTTCACTTGAATAACGGTCAGTTTCCTCATCTGTAAAATGTAAATTTCTGATTCAGAGGATTGTTTTGAGGATGCTATGTGCTAATGTGTATGAATCTTTTTTTTTTAACTGTGAGGCACTATACAATTTCTGATTTTTTTCCTCAATGACACATCAGAAAAAATGTACAATGTAAGTGTCTTTTATTAACTTAGAGTGATGATCCAGAAGGGACTTTACAGACCATCAGGTTTATCTTCCCTCTTTTAGCTTTTGAGACAACTCAGAGAGTGATGAAGAGACTTCCCTAAAGTTAAGCAAGAACCAATGACAAAACTGTAGCCAGAATTCAGTTTCTCGAGATGAATTAGAAATGTCTGCAAAATACACTATTTTTATTCAATGTTTGTATCTTAGAGCTAAGCATGGCGTGCAGAACATAGGCTAACAGTAGGGAAGATTATTTTTGTTAGACATTAAATATATCACCAGCAACTTTTCTGAAGCCATCATCAAAATCATTATTTCTCTCGTTTTTAATTGACAAAGTGAAGCGAGAACGTTTCTGTGTACTGTGGCTCTTTTATGCATCTCAGCCCAGTACTTGCATTAAGCTGTAAATATAGCCCATAAGAAAGCTATAAGAGATAAACATGGAAAATTTGCAGCCTTGCTGTCATTCACATTTGGTTGATCCTGATATCAGCAAGAAACAAGATATTCATCATGTATTCTACCAATATTTCTTGAGCTCCTAGTAGGTGTAATAACAATAGCTAACCTGTATTGTGCTTTCTGTATGCCAGTTTTATGGACTTTATATTGAATGACTCCTTTAAAGCTCACATCCACTCCACGAAATAGGTATTATTAGCACCATTTAGCTAATGAGGGAATTAAGACCCAGAGAAATTAAGTATCTTGCCCACCATTACAAGCCTAGGAGGAGGTAGAGCCCAAGATGAAAACTCTGGCCATTGGCTCCCAGAGTCTGCGCTCTTAACCACTTGGTTATGCTACTGAATGTTGAAAGCTCTGTTTTGTGGGCTGTGGATATACCAGTGAGTGAAGCAGACAGGATCTCTGCCTTCAACACAATAGACAACAATAGCAAGTGCAAGTGCAGAATGATTGGCGTAGCAATAAGTTTCAAGGAAAGAGTAATCCTAGTTTTCTGGTATAGTAATGGATAGTTTCAAACACGAGTAGTGAATAAGGCTTTCCTACCGATATTGTAAATCAGCAGAAGTTTAACCCAAAACATGCAGACAGAAAAGTAACCACCATAACTGGAGGACAGAGGAGCATGGATAGTCAAGTTTAGTTGGTATGACTGGTTCATAGACATTGCTTTATGCCATGTAAATTTCTATAAAGCAGAACTATCATTAGTCCATGTCTTAGTCTGCAATAAAGTTAAGCTGTGTTGTTATTCCTCTAGTTTAAGCCAGAAGTAGAAGAAATCTGTTGATAGTAGTCTTCAATGCAAGCCTAAACAGTTTGGTTTTGACCCAAAAGCAATAGAAAGTCACAGCTAGTTGTGAGGAGATAGAACCAATTAAAGTAATATTTTGGAAATACAGATTTAACTGTGTGGTATGTGAGAGGAAGGGAGACACTGTGATCATTCAGAAGCTGTTACAAAAATGTGTGTGTGAAATAACAAAGACCACCAGTGAAAATCAAGAGGAAAGATCAGATATGAAAACATAATAGCTTCATTATTTTGTTTGTAATTGTAGTTTCTTAGAATCTAATAAGAGCATATTGTTATGCAAGTACTTCAGAATATTCATGTGAAAATTTTAGAATTTTTCTGAACTAGTTTGTTCATCTACTTGTTAAAAAAATAGATGAGAAACAATAAATGTGTGTGAAAGAGCTGATGATGTGCATTTCCAGAAATCACTCCAAGGCATTTTGATGTTTTAAGAGTTAGTATTGGTAATGTAAAAAATCATTACCCCTTCTTAATTCTTTTAACCAATGTCTATCTTGTCTATTTGCCAACAAATAAGAGAAAAATGTTCTTTTTTAACATATTTCAGCTCTTTTATATTCAAGACACCTAAAAAATAAATCACATATTTGACTACAGCGTAATTTACCAAATGATAGATTATAACTCACAAAGAAACTGAAATATACACTGTTTTCTTACTAAGAGCTACCAAAAATGTCAAAGTGCTAATAATGCCTTTGATAGTTTTGAAGTGGTAACAGTTGTTTACATATATGAAATATAAGTAATTGATAATGAAGCACCTAAAGATCAGATGGGAAATTAAAGATCTTATTAGCAATACTTTTAATTTAAACAATTGCACTTTATGGCTGAACATTGTGTGTGTTTTGTTTTAGATAAAATACAGTATAAAAAGAGAAATATGAAGATGAATACTTAATGTTATTATCTAAATGTAGGTTATCCAGCACTGTACGTATGTGCCCTGACGGATGGCAATTAGACTTTGGGTGTTGAACATGATGTAGTCTTCACAGAAATTGAAATATAATGACGTGTGCCTGAAACTTTTATAATGTTATAAACCAATGTGACCTCATTAAAATAAATAAGTATAACCACTATTATTTAATAAAACCAATTCCTATTCTACACAGGTATGACATCAAAGATGATTACACACTGAGAATTAAAAAGGCCATGAGTACAGATGAAGGCACCTATATGTGTATTGCCGAGAATCGGGTCGGGAAAGTGGAAGCCTCTGCTACCCTCACAGTCCGAGGTAAGAGATTTAAGATGTGAAATATAATTGAACCTGCAGACTAATATTTTGTTAAATTGGTAAGTGAACTCACAATCAAAACAATAGCTTACACTGTTTTATTATTATCTTAAAACGCCTAGATTGTGTGTCCTCTCTATTATTAATTGAAATAAAATTACTTTCAAATTTGGGTTCATAGGGATGATCATTTGAAGTGATTAATTTTTATTTATTAAATAATAGCTGATATGGTTTAAAAGTAAATCTTAAAAATAGCAAGATTTACACTAATCTTTTACATTTCCATTGCTTTGAACTATTTACATATCACTAGTTTCAAAGGTACTCTGTTTTCTGTTTACTAACTTGTGACTTTATACTAGGAAAGTACTGTTTTGAAGTTCTTTTTTATTTCAGCATTCAAAAAGCAATCAGAAAAAAGCTAACACTGCTTCCAAAGGTAAAAAATTGATACAAAGGAGCTCCCACATTGAGGAAATCTGATTTAAAGAGTGATTTGTGAAGTTCATTGGCCTTAAATAGTTGAAATAGTCAGTGCTGCTTCTGTAATAACTTTTAGTTTCTGGATGTCACACACTTTCTCAGTCATGGAATAATGTTCATTTATAGACTCCCTGGAATGGCTTATAAGTGAAAGAAAGCATTACTTAACCCTACAGTGAGCTAGAATAAACTAACTGTCTTCCTGGCGGTGCGTGTTGATCCACACGAGTAAATTATATAGCCCAAGTTACCAAGTAGTACCATGTAGACAGCTACACTTACTCTTGCCAGGTAGACAATACCCATAGCATTGCTTACACTCACCAGACCTCAAACAGAGACAGGCAAGCGCATCCCCGGCTCAGTCTTTCAACCTTTCTTCCACTTCCCTAACTGATGCCTCCTCCTCTCATCCCTCATGATATGGAGGTTGGCTGCATGTTTTTCTCCAGGTCTCAGTTACATCTCACTCTGCTTAGTGATAACTCTTAAGCCTTGTGCAGCTTTGATCCCAGAAGTTTCCCTAAGATTAGGAGAAAGGTTTGGAGGAATTTGGACTGGTGAGAAATGTGTCAGGGATTCTCAGATTGGTCTTCCATTTGGTAAGAAAAATGATTTTTGCCAGATCTATGATTTGGACATCAAATCATAAAAATAATCATCTTCCTCCAGATAACCATTAAGAGACATGCACTCTGGATGCCTGGAAAAATATTGATGATATCCGTACTTCTCAATCGCTCCATTCCTATTGTACCTAATCCATTTTTTCCCCTATCCAGACATTCTAGCCTGAACTTAGTTTCAAAACAAATTTTGACACAATTGGCAAGCTGGTTGCTTAAAAACATTTTCATTCCTCATTAGTTAACAGATCATGAAAAGCTATGATCATATACCAATCGAATATACATACTGATTATATATGATCTACATCTGATAGCCTTTGTAAACCTTTTTACTATATTTAACCTCCATTCTCTGTAGGTGATTATACATTTATATATATTTCTATTTGTTTGCTTTTATAGGCAGCCCTTTGGAAAAACAATTCACCTAACCAAATTTCCCCAAAGTTTGTTTGTTTTTTCTGAAGTGAATGGAAAAAAAATACCCAATCAAGAAATGTTCCATTCAAAAAATATTTGCTGACTAAACAAATGGAGAGGAAATGTGAGGAGTTGTTTGTTTGTAGAAGCAGCGGGTTCTTTTTATACTTGAATGCTTGGATGCATGAGACTTGAAGTGTTCTGTTTGCTTTAAGATCTTTCCCAGCTAATTGTTTTCTTAATTTGTTGCAAGTTTCAGGTTTAACATTTCATTTAACCAAAGCATGCTCTTCATGGCCTGGATGTTTGAAGCTAACTTAGGAAACTAATAGAAAGAGTTGTTTTTAATAGGATTTTTTTTTTTTAAATCAGCAAATCTTAAATGACGTCTCCCCTAATCTGTGTCCCGTAGATGGATTAGAGAGTTTAATCTGTGTGGTATGTATTTATCACTCATCTAAGACTAACACCACAAAAACATGGTTAAAGAAAAAAACTCCATAATACAATAGAGTGTGGGGTAAAATATTGTTTAAAAATATTTTTTACTGTTAGGAAGGACAGTTGGGATTTTTCATGCTAAGAGACTAACAGGAAAAAAGCATATTATCTATGACATTTTTTTCTGTGCTCATTTTTCTATGCACATAAATGAAATGTTCAGCCCTGCCCTGGATTGTTTTATCAGAACAGGGTCAACTGAACCAAGAGGGCACATTCATTTTCATCCATTTAATGCAGGGACACCATTTAGTTTAATTTGCTGATTTTGAAAACATCCACCTGCTGGTTTTTTTTCAGGATGAAATGGTTGCTATGTAATGAAGATAAGAAGTTTTATTGTGATGTTTCTGCTAAAATTTTATCATGATGTTCACTTTAGCCAATTGGGGAAAAGGAAAAGGAATTTAATAGTTAAAATCTGAAACAGAGATTTACTCAGTTGTTTTCCACTTCAAAAATACGGTGAAAATAGACTATAAAATTAAACTTAACAGCAAGTGACTCCCTTTGCTGACTCGACAAACATAAAATTAGAAAGATATAATGCTAGACAATAACAAACCTCCTAGCATTTATATTCTAATCAAATAATTCATGATCTAATAGAACTTTTAACATGGTTCCAAAATGAGTTAACACAAACTGTATATTTGTAAACATAATTTTTTTCCCATTTTTCAATTGCTCAAGTTGGCTTTGCATAAATTAAGACTTCATGGGAAAAACTATCTTGCTTCTAGGGCAAGAGAGCCTGAATTTTTTTTGGAATTACCCTAGACTAAGTGAAAGAGAAATATAGTTTATTTCTTTAAAACATGATTTCTCACTATGGTTTCTTATTTTTCTCTGTTTAATATCATAGACTCGAAAATGCCCTTTTGTTTCTAAAGGAAACATTATATTTGAGATTCAGCTTGAGGTCGCACCTGAAAAATGCAAATTCAAAGATGAAAGACAAAGTTATTTTTCTACTGGATGTTGCCAAAATTAAGAGAAGTCTCATCGATTAGAATAAGGCACAACTATGATGTTAGTCTGTTGTGTTGTTCTTGGTAGTTACTTTTTGTGTGCCCCCCCCCACACACACAAAAGAAATTGTCTTACACTGGGCAACTTTTTTCTCTTCCTCTTGCTATAGTAAGCCCACCATAGGTTGTAAGACACACTGGAGTTTCACTAACTTGGAATTTTCATACTGCTGTTATAATTGCTTTTTTCTTCTTTGAATTGTCTTCATCTCCCCCTTTTAATTGTGAATAATATTATAAGACCACAAATCTCATATAGAGGCAACTTCAGTATTGTTTCAGAGCTTGCATAAAGCTAGTATCATGGTGTATTTGTTGAGTGAATGAATGCCTATAAATATGGCTCCAGTGGCTGTATCTATCTCACCATGCCCAATGAGACAACTATCCATAAGTTCTAGAGTCACGTTATGTATGCACTAGCGCTTTATCCGCTGGGACATGGGTGAGACACTCGTTTGTCGAATAAAGTTACATTTTGAATGTAAGATTTCAAAAAGTTCAGATGCTACTAAATATATTTCCTCTTCATTTGAGTAATGGAACCATATGTCCTATATTTGTCCATTGATCTTATATAAAGTGGTTTGCTCTCTAAATTGATTTGGCATTCTTTTTAAAGAAAGTATCATTAAGGCCATGTGTGTCTCTTACAATTTCTGTGCATTAATAACAGGGGCAGCCTGTTACTACTGAGTTTAGTGATTGAAAGTTATGGTATAATAAAAAAATAATAATTTGTTGAAGCAGCAGTTTGAAAGCCATTTTTAGTGTGAACAAGAATCAACTTGTCAGTCATTGTTTCTCGCCTTCTGCCAAAAAAAGAAAAACGCTTAGCAGTAGTTAGGGAGCTACTCAGTTGAAATCTCTAAGGATGTTTCCACCTATTTGTTATATTTTCATCCAGTCTGTCCACGGATGAAAAGTGATGTGATCTTAACTTATTACTGGCTGAAAAGCAGCGTCAGGGGCTTTTCTGTGGCCCTTGTAATGGTTCTGACTAACCATGCTTAAAATCCAATTGCTATTTAAATCAGACAGTGAGGCCTTCTTTTATTGACATGACATTTGCTAGTCCGTGACTAGAATAGTTATATTCATCAAGTTCGTAACTTTAGGGTAACACAAGGCTGTTTAATTCTAAAATGATCTTTGAAATAATAATTATAGTAAGTGATAATAAAACTTTACATAAAATATCTCTCAAATTGCTTATAGTTAATCCTGGGTTGCAAAATAATTATTTTCTTAGAATTATATTTGTAACTTTCAGTTTTGTCAAACTCAGGCATCCTATTCATACTTGAATTATGAAACTAGAAATCACTCTACTGTCCATACTTAAATGTAACATTACACATCATGCATTCTGATAATTTTCTTTTCTTTCTTTTTTTTAATTTCTTTTTTATGTTCTCACCACACCATTGTAATGTCTACAGCTCGCCCTGTTGGTAAGTAGCCATCCTTCTATCCATTTAGCATGGCTTTGTACGATGCTTCATAACTCATGCATAGTAGGATTTGACGGAATGAAATATATTTATTCACCGTGTTAAAATATTATTTGAGGGACTGTCTGCTGTAAAAGTTGCTCCTAATCTTTTCATCACATTGATAAACCATTTTGTAGTGACTTTTGATACTTAACAATGAATAGGTAATAATTTTCATGTAAAAGAATATATGAATGTTTAATATTATAAACTGTTAACTTTTCTTAAGGAGAAAAAAATACTTCCTTTTTTCTTATACATATAAAATAATCATTAGTTATGTTTGATATTACTTAAGATAAAGGATTATGAACTAAATTATGAAATTCTATTACTTTATGCACTTTTTTTATTTTAAGCTGCTTGGAGTCCTTGCTCTTTAAGGGTATTTTTAACTGCTGCATACTTATTATCTGCATGCCTATTTAAACAAAATTTAGTAGAATTCTTCAGGTTATTGTAAGTAGATGCTTACACTAAGAGGAAAAGGGAGGGATGAGCTGTGTTCTTTGGCATGAAAAGTTTGTGGTTTTAATGTATCTCATCCTTCATTTGGCTTTGCATACTTGAAGTTACCTTGTGCTTGCCGTAATTTAAGTGGTAAATATTTGCGAACATTTGGAAGATATAATCTTTTTAAATTCCTTGATTTAACCTTTCTGCATCTCTTTTAAAGTTTAGCTTAACCTACCAATAAATGTTTAAATAAAAGAAATCATGGTAATTGTGTTATAAGTAAGTGAATAGATGGATGCATAAATGGATGGATGGGTGAACGAGTGAATAAATTTAGTGCATTACTTATTTAGTATACCAAGAGATATGGTAATATGTTATTCAATTTGACACAACTTTATAAATGGTTCATCTAACTTCAAAAGCTTTCTTAATATACTGGCTTGACATTGTTGACACTTGATGTATATTGGTCCAAACTCATAACATTTTTTCCCATTGGTTGAAACATTAACAAACTTTATTGTTATGTAGTGTATTCTTACATGGATAGTGTACAAAATACAGTAAATAGAACTTTGGTTTCCCAATCTGAATTTCTGCTCTGCTGTTTCCCAGCAGTACTGTCTTTGTCAGTTAATATCCCTGAATCTCAAGTCACTTTGTCTATAAAATGAAGAGAATAATGCTGACTTATCAAAGCTGTTGTAGGAATGAATTGGGTTCAAGACTGATCATACATATGAAAACATTTTATATGCCAACATATATAAACCTTATAGTTTTTAAGCCTCATTTTTTGTATTTGTAAAAATCCATATTGATAACTTTACATATCTATGGTATGACATCTAAAATTAAGAAGTGAATGGGAAAGAATAAGATAATAACTTTGCAAATTAACAGGAAAGGTCACATTTAAATTATAGATCTTTATATATAGAAACCTTATGCTGATAAACCATGACCACTTGATTTATATTTCACAAGTTCCCAGAATATAGAATAATATGTTAATAATTTCAAATATATTTAAATCTCATAAAAAATACATGGATTGGAAATGTGATGAACACAGAGTATTAAGATGTATTTGTCACCTACAAGGCATTTCAAAAGTTTTTTCTGTTTTTTATTCTTGTTTGAAGTGATTTCTTAAATTCCCATTGGACTGGAACTAAAGAATAGCTTCTTGACACATTGCACTTTATTCTGGGAAAGTCTGTCATTTCATAAATCTATCACAAATGACTTATGACAATGTTCAGAAATATGAAGAACTATACTTTAAACTTGACAACTACTATTAATTTTGGAAACTGAATGTTAGGTATGCTTTTATTGGATCACCGAAGAAGAGGTTGATAATGAGGAAATTAGCCTGTTTTTTCTTTGCATTAACTTTTTACAGCAATTTAGATTCAGGAACTATAGATATGTCAACTTTTATTGTAATTTCAGAAGGTACAAATCAAGTAAAATCAAGAATTAAATATTCAAATAATAGAAAACTCCTTAAATACTAATATTTGTTAGTGGACTAAAACACAAGTTTTTCCACTGTGAAGCTCCTAGCAATAGCATTAAGGGTATTCTACAAAATAGAAGCCACAAAAAGGGGAGAAAAATCTAGCTTTTAATTTCAGTATAAATTAGGTGAAGAAATATGTACCAAGGATATAAAATTTAGAGAAAATTCAGGGGGTAGATCATATCTAAAGTTTTTGAAAGAAAATTAGAAATGTATGCCGATTCTGTTATATTTATAGATTCAGAAACCAATCACTACATTACATACCAGATAAAACTTGGTTGTCTGTGTGGAAAGCCCGGTTAGAAATCATTATAAACCCCCAAACTGGGAGTTTTGTTTAAATGGATGACTCGTATGAGCTGCATTTTAAGTTAAAGAATTGGCAACTCTATGCAATTTACAGTCAGAATAAACACCTTCTGGCCTGTAATTCTGAGTGTAAGAACAACTATTGATTTAGAGCATCCTCAGTGTGGGAAATTTCACTGAAATCAATCACATACTTGCCAGTGGAGGAAAGTATTTTCCGGATTTCACTTACTCATCTGCAACATCTCAAAAAGAGCCCTTTAATCCAACTTCCATATTTGCTGATTACCACAAAATCTCGACAAATGCCATTTTGATAATTAAAAATCCACCAGCCCTTCCTGGAGTTTAGACTTTTTACTGTTCCAAAGGCATTCTTTATATGAGAAGCAAAAGAACAGGACACAGTTAACTATGAATGCTGAAATATTCATTTGTTTATTTGGAAAACTCTCTTGATGAGGGAACTGACAGAAGAAAATGGTCTAAATAGGGATAAATATCTTGCTTCCTATACCCATCTGTCTTATTTTCTATTGGAAGTCTTTCCCATGCTTAAAAATAAAAAAGAACATCTATTTTGGAGATGGGCAACACATTTTTTCCTAGCAGCAACTCAAAACATGATGAGTAATTTGGAAAAGACCTGTCAAATCTACCAGCTGCCTTGCGTGTGAAGCTCAGCTCTGCTCCATTTTGTATCTTGTGGACCATATGCTAGATGCTGATTGCCTCCAGTATGGAAACTAACGACTGAGTATATCAGGTGAAATTGTTTAAAATATCAAAAACAAACAGACAATTCACAACTTTATGGAGCTTCTAAATACTTCCTAATTTACTGACTCAAACGTAAGTTCTTTTGATGGTAGAATATAATTGGCCACACAAGAGTTTATAAGTATTGAGAGATGTATATTTTTTGGCAAATTCTCATCTTTTATGATAGTTATTTTTAAAGAAACAGCCACTATTCTAAACAGAAGTCTATAGGGACATATTTTTTTCAGTCTTTTAATAGTTTAAACACAAAAATTAAATATATCCTCATTTTAGAAAGTTCTGTTTTGAGTTGAAGTGGAGTTTTGTTATAGCCTGCTCTGAAGCATTGAGGCTGCCAAGAGATCCAATAAAAAGTGAGTGATTGAAAAATCCATTCAGAGAAAATTCTAAAGCAGAATTATATTAATTACTTAAAGAATAACTGATTCTTTGACTGATATTTTCAACACCACCACCCTCCACCCCACCTTGAAATCTGGAAAATTTAATGTGCTATATATAATTTAACTTAGTAGTGGAAGTATTCCAGTTTTTTTTTTTAAATTGGAAAACATGTAGATATTACGTATGAATGCTTTAATGTCGAGAGCCGCTTTTCTGCAAAAGGCGTCCTGAATGTGTCTTAGAAGGAAACCTGTACTTTCATTCCGACTTTCTTCTTTGTACAAACTGTTACCCCATGACCTGAGGTAATTATCTCCCTCCTACGAGTGCTTAATGTTTCCTGTACCTGGAGCTAATTAGCTACTTTATGCAGAGTCCCATTTAATTTTTATTAAGCATCATGTTTTTCATTGTTCCACATGTTTTGATTAAGTAGTAGGTAAAAACAAAATACATTCTATTTTGTCTTGTATATTCCAACAGAGTTTCCATACGTCAAATGTTTAAAATATCTTAAGCTAATGCTAATTTTTAAAGTGAAAAGCAAGTACTAGTTACTTCTCATGCTTGGCTGGGTTTAGTCACTGACGATTCATTTGGAAGGACCTTGTGTGTTTGACAATGTCAGTTCATTGCCTCTTGAGGATCTATATCTGTCTTGGAGGATAGATATAGAATTATTGAGTCATAAATTTTCTGTCTCAGACCTTGGTGAAAATGTTCAATTGTCTTGGTATTGAATGGTACTGTAGTGAAGTCTGAGGCTTACAGAATATTTTTATCCTTGGCTGGGATGCCCTTTGACTTTTTAAATACTAATACAGTTCCTTCTTCCATAACTTTGCTGGATTATATCTTGGTCCTGATCACCCTGTATCTAATACTCCTGGGACACAACAAGCCCCTTGAATCTGCAGATTCATGGTTTAATTTATTCTATTTCATGAATGTTTTCTTCTGTTTTATCTTTGAATATTTTTTCTGTCTCACTTCTTATCTTCGAATGCATCAATTTTGTTGACTTTTCTTTGTCTGAATTCCATATTTATTAATTTCTTTACAATAATTTTGAAGTCATCCTTTTTATTTCGTATTGTATGATTTCTTAATGCCAATTTATCATCTCCCCGACTTTTTTAATTGCAATTACCATTTTTTCTCATTTTTAAAATATATTTTATTCCTTTAAGTTAATTTTCTCTTTTGCTCATTTCCTCGCTCAGGAAATTCTTCATTTCCACTTGTCTTTTAACCCCTTTACCCCTCTTTTAGTTTTTTTGTTTGTTTCTATTTTTAAAGAGAGGCTCTGTTGTACATAATTTCATTTAGCCTATGGACAACTATCCTAAAGTATTTCTGTTGTTCCCTGGGTAGTTCTTGGCACATATCAACTCTTTATCTCCCTTTGATTAATTGATTATGTTCCTCTCTGTCATTAATTATATAAGTAATTAAGGTATACTTTGTTTTATTTTGTTTTACTTGGATCTTG